GTGGCCTGAATCCTTCCCAAGATTATAGTCCTAGGTTCCTTTTATGGTTATGTTTTAGGAGGACCCCCCACCCTGTAATAGTGGTATAATAGGAATATAAGAGGACCCTAATATAATCCCTAATATCCCTTATAGTCACTATTACTGGGTGGGGGGGTCCACCTAAAATTTACGTCTAGGCATTGCGAGCTTGATGAGGGTTAACTGCTCCAGCTCACGGGCTTTGAGAGTTTGGAGTTGTGGGTTTGGGGTTCCGGGTTTAGGGTTGGGGGTTAGGATTTTGGGAATAGGCTTTGAGGTGTAGGGTTTGTGGGCTAGGGCTTGGGATTGTTGTTTGCCCTAAAGGCCGTAAACCCTAAAACCATGGTGTTTAAGCCACGGGCTTTCGGGTTTAGGGGGTGGGGTTATAGTGAGGAACCTCAGAAAAATCTGGGTTCCTGGGCTCTCTTGTTACGTATTAGGGTTTAGGGTTGGGGCTATGGTTTTGGCCAGCAATAAGAACCCACATCCACTCCAAATCAAGAATACCACGTCTTTGGGGGGTGCTTTTGTGGTGTGGAGGGGCAAATGACAGCAGCGACGCGTAGTGCAAACCCTCACGTAACAGTAATACTTTAATTAGGGTTTAGGGTTTGTGAGTCTACCTGGATCCCCAAGGTAGGTAGAATAATAGCCCAAAACCCCTAACAAATTGCCCAAAAGGGAATTACTCTGCATACTTTACCCTGAACCCTGAACCCTAAACCCTTCAGGTAGGGCCTAGGGTGTATGGCATTCCAAGAACTTGGAGCCGCCCGTGAATCCCTTGATATTACAGGCATCGCATCCCGAAAGGCTGTGTCGCTTCTTATGAAGGCTTAGGGTTTAGGGTATAGGTGCCCCTGGGTGACCTCATTGAACATCACTTTTGGGATGGTGTTAAGCCCTTGTAACGTTTAACGACAAAACAGGCGATGTTGCAAACGATCAAGAAGGGACCTAAGTCTTCAACCCTGAACCCTAATTCCTATCCTTTACATGGGACCCATAGCTTCGCAACACTGCGTTCATTCTGCACTTTCCACTGAGAGGCCTGGATAAGCACGTCCGCTTGCGCCATATGAGTCCAGTCTTTGAGCTCATCACCGTCCCTGATGCAACGTGAGAGGGCGAGTCTGCGGTGAAGAGAGGCTAAACCCTAAACCCTGAAAGTTAAAGACCGAGAAGGGATTCTTTAGGTGTGAAGTTCGCTACTGTCTATGTCGCTTTGAGCACACTCTGCGGCCCCCAAAGTTCAGCCCTACCACACCCTGAGAACCCTGTTACGCGAGTGGCCATCATACAGTAAGACCTTAACCAGGAACCTTCACCAATCTTCATCAGCCGTGCCAAGCCCCATGAAGCCCCAACCATCGGCAACAGCCCCCCCCCCAGAGTCCATGGCAGTGGGACATGAAACTCACATGACGCACTTGTACTCAGAAAAGGTTTGGTTGTCTACCTGCATGAGTCCAAGAATACGGTTCCTGCTTACACAGTCCGCACATATGAGCTATACTCGAAACTCCAAGGATCCCCCTTAGTAACCCCTATACTAGTTCCCTATACAATCCCCTATATAACCTCCTTCAAGGAGTTTAGACTATGGCACAAATGAGCATGTTTGACATGTCTCTGGGGCCCATAGCCTCGGCCGAAGCCCTAAGCCCTCTTTCGATCCCTTCCCAACCCCTTAAATCCCCAAGCCCATAAACCCTATCCCTGAACCCACAGCCATAAACCCTAAACCGACTCAAAAACCCCCCAACACTAAACCCTACCGTGAACCTAAGCTCCAGTTTTGCCCTCGGCAATGTCTATTGGGTTGGTGTTAAGGGACTTAGTTTAAGTTAAGTTAGTATTTTGGGAAACCCCAGTATTCACAATATCCCCATAGTTCGGTAACTTACTTCAAGAGCCGTAACAGCAAACCAGTCTAACGCATGTTGAGATGCAGACTTAAACCCTAAACTTTAAAACCCTAAACCCTAAAGCCCTAAGCCCCTAAACCCTAAACCAGCAACCCTAAACCATGAACCGTAACAAAACCGAAACAAAGCCAAGTAGCAGATGGACCTTGCAGCCACGCGCCCGATAGGGATTGAAATCACGGCTTGTGTAGCTGCCCTCTTTGGTGGTACTGAAGACCTCAGTATTGGCACTTGTTCAAAGACGTTCTTGGGATGTAAAGGGATGGCCAGGGATGTGTGCATAAGGTTAATCGACCCAAGGACACAAACTTTGGAGTTGCAAGTCTTGGGCCCTAGAACCCCATTATTTGGGCACTTGGGCTTCTGGGGTAATTGCTACCTCAATAATGTCATCGTCCAAGTACATGAAACCTTACTCCAGGGCAAGGTAGGCAATGTTCATCAAGTTTGGGGACCGAGGTCGGTATTGTTTTTGATACAGGCCACCCCAAATGACAACCTCGCAGCACCCTGATAGAAAATGTTCCCCATCCACATATCAGTGTATAGAAACATATATATATATACATATTTAGGGTTAAGGGTTTAGGGTTTGGGGTTTAGGGTTTGGGGTTTAGGGTTTAGGATTTGGGGTCTAGGGTAGCGATGCCATATATATATGTATATATGTGATTGTATATATCTATATGCTGTGAAATAAGTATGCAGTTTGGGAGGACTCACCGAGACGTAGTAGATACGTCCACGATCATGCATACCGCGGTACGGCATCGAACATACCCTTAAACCACGAAGATGCAGGGGGGGCTATGATCAGGCTGAGGTGAATAATAATGGTCTTTACATTTCAGGGTTCCAAGCTTGGGCTGATGGGCAAGGATACCCGAGAAACCAGCCAAATTCGGCAAGATTTAAGGGTACCCAAAAACCAGGCACGATTTGTAGACTCTAGGGCCAAAACAAGGCAGCATTCGTAGACATGCATGCCCAGGGTTATTTGTCAAAAGCAAGCAGTCCCATGCCTGTGTACCCAGTAAAACTGTGAATGCTGTGCCCTCTAAATTGGGACACATGGTAATGTCATGGGCCCTCACGGGAGATAGAACTGTTCCGGTCTCCTGCAGAAAATGCACACACGAGCAGGTTTCAACTTTCCACCCCATGTCTCAGTCATAGAATCGGTTGCCGGATGCAGGCTAAGCCACATCAAAGGCAGAACCGCTATGTTGGCGGCCGCTTCCCCCGGTCTGTACAAAGATTTACTGCAGCTGCTTGGCAATCCCATCCCGGCTAGCCACTCATTTTCATGGCTGCTTCATCAAAGTTCCACGGAGCTACATGTATCACAAAGGCTTGGCCGGATTGGTTGAGATTTCAAGGTTCTGGCACTGCGTTTTGTGCTTGAGTTTCAGCTAGTTCTACTTCTGCCGTTTGCGCTGCTCAATCTTCTGAACAAACTTGCTAAGAGCTTTGCTCTTGATGCCGATTTGGCGCAAGGCAGCAAGGTTGGCAGCAATGTGTGCGCGCTCTTGTGCCTTTTTCAACTTTCTGCGCTTTTCAGCCTTCTCTTGAGCTGCAACAGACTCACATTCAGGACAAGAGATGCTACCACAACGTTTGTACTTAGCATGGAAGACGCAGAGAGTGTGCCCGCATTGCAGCTTTCTGGAAGCGTGCGCTCCATCCCCCGTGTTGAGCGTGGAAGCATTTGCATTGAGAAACTTGTCCAAACATGGCTCGCAGCAATTGTCGTCGAAACGCTGCATGAAGGGACATTGGAAGCCATCGCATGCCTTGTAGTGATCTGTGAGCACAACCATTTCGCAGTCACGACAGGATGTTTTGTGAAAGTGATACTTGCCTTCACAGAACTCGCATGGTGACTCGTCTGCAGCCTTTTGAGCACAATCGTCGCAATAGCACCTTTCGCATCCACATTCCATTTCCGCGGAGTAGCCCTTCATTATCTCGCCGCACCCTTCGCATTCGTGAAGGCCCATGTTACAGCTACGCGCTGGCTGGTGCTGTAGAAGAAACTGCTGTTAAAATTGAGCAGTAACTGCAACGATTAACCAGCCTTCTCGGCCATCACATTGTGCAAGCTGGCAAGTGTCTTTACCGTGTCAACGACTGCAGTTACTATGGTTGCGCAGTGCATACTCCCATTCTGGGCGTTCCTATCAGCATGTTTAATACTACTACTGTTTTGATTTGGCTGCCGTGAGATGTGCACTGCAAGTTGATACCCATATGATTTTCATGACGTTGAACATAAGCCCTGCCTAGACCTGCAAATGTAGCGCAAAACTCTTGCTTTGCAACTCTTGGTCGTATGGACTCAAACATCCCTGTCATAATCTCAATCTAAATTATGAAAGGAAGGGGATGAACCTGGGGTTCTACCTTCTAAATTTCTGTGCCCGAGTGACGTGGACGTCTGAGTTGGGAAGAAGTTTCTGAACCGCGGTGATGAGCCGAAGGTAGACCTGAGAAGAGAGGGTTTAGGGTTATAGGGCTTCAAGCAGGATCGGGTTTTGGATTTCAGGTCTACCTGGACTTCAAGCGTAGGTACAATCACGGCCTCAAAGCAGGAGGCAGGAGTGCATTTTGCACTACCTTACCCTAAGGGTCCAAGGACCCAACTAATAGGGCTTTAGAGCTCAAATACCATAACATTAATGGTATTTGGGCCCTGAAACCGAATTATTTGGGTCCTTGGACCCTTAGAGTTATATGAACTAGGAAAGTAGAGCATCCGATTCTACGTGGTGCAAGATGTCCTCCATGCACCGCAGGAGCCCCTAAGGGTCCATGTACCCAATAATTAGGTACTTGGGATTTGGGTAAAAGTAATAATAGTACAGTTTTGGGAAAGTATATGACTATTAGGTACGTGGACCCTTAGGGAGCGTAGGGTGGAGGGTTTTGAAGCGATTGGCGGCCTTGATTTCACGCAGTGAGCAGATACAGGGAAATGAAGGCTTTTCACAGGTCGTTCACCTCCACCCTAAGGTAGTTGAACGGGATCCCAAACTTCGACCCTCACAGCCAAAAACTTCCCCCAGAAAGCCCCGGGTAGCTTTAGGCACCTCAGGACAGGGGCTCGTCCGGGGTATGTGATGTAAGGGCCTAAACAATTACAAATATTCCTTGTGAGGTCTATTTCGAGTACCCTCTACCATGCCTATACAAAGAATCTAGAGGACCATGTCACGATATCGGCAATTCTTTGGGCTACTACAGCAGCGCTATGATTTAAGCTGAGGAGTCTTGTGTCCAGGGTTAAAGGGTTGTAAGGATGCAGCTTAGCCACTTTAAAAAGAATGTGAGACCCAAACTCTAAACCCTAAACCCATAAACACGCTTACCTCTACCTGCTGGTATTGACGGAGGAGTGCTGGAGTGGATCTTAACACTGCTTGAATTCACTATTATGGTACCTGCGTTGCGTTCCCTGCTTCCTCCCCATTAAGCGCCCGTAAGTACCTGAATCCAAGATTTCCTCATGCGTTTCCCCGAGATTCCTGGTTGATAGGTTTTAAGGGCTTACGGTTCTACGACTTCGAAAATAACGGCACCATGTGCTGACTCCATATTTGGTGATGTTTGCCAGTTCGCGGCGGCGAGGGCTTGTAGCCCCACCAGGACAAGCACAGACTACCAGTCATAATGTACGTACATGTAACTAGGACAATTGATGTCTAAAGAACATCGGACTTTACAAGGAGGGCCCCCCTAGTTACATAACTTCTACAATTATGGAACTTGTAAACTTGTAAACCCTACACCCTATGTGACTAGGCGGCGCCTCCTTGCAAGCCAACACCAAGTCATGAACATGAAATGGCTCATTTTCTCGAAAGCCTCAGACATGTCCCGCAACTCTTGGATAAACCCCAAATTTAGGGTCCGTGTAGCTATATAGTATAGGGTTAAGGGTTTCAGGTGGGTAAATAGTAGTAGACTTAAGGCCCAATGGGCTTCCTATATAACTACCTCAGGGCCAAGGTATATACTATATAGCTACATGGACTCTTTGGGAACCCTTGACCCTAAAGCCTTGAACCGTGTTTGTTGGATGGCACTTGCAACACCGAGCTGATACCAATTCCTCACACCCCTAAACCCTAAACCCTACCTGGGCCCCAAAAGTATGTAAAATAATGGCCTTTATGGCTATTATTATGGGTTTAGGGTCATTATTTTACATACTTTTGGGG